TTTTTCAAACCAATATATGTAAAAGCATGTAAAACAAAGTTTGAACACTCCCCATCAAATGCGTGTTTTTTTTATTTTCTAAGTGTAAGTTAACACATCCTCTACAGAGAACACACTTCAAACATGGTATTTTTCTGCAAATTGTAGTGCACAACAGTGATAAAATGTTAGAAACCAAAGTGATCGACTACATTTGGGGTAAGGAGAAAATTGTACTGGTTTTGCAGTGGACTATTGCTTTAAATTAATGTAGATATCCATTACTAGTTAGCAACGTCAGCCTCGTAGCTCCAGTGCAAACTTATGCAAACTTCAAACATGATCAGTGACATTTGAGGAAACTTCTGTAAGTTTCTTCTAAAAGTCTCGGCTCACTCACGAGCAAACCACCCTCTTCACCTCTTTTACAGTGGCAGCCTGTGAAACTATCTTCTCATCCCAAATGGCCTGTTATGTTAGCACATGGATCATAACTCTGTGACTGTGTCATGATATAAAGCAGCTGGAGCAAACAGATGGCTGTTATGATCCAGCAGTACAATAAAGCTGTCACTTTGAGGATGGTCACAGATAACATCCAGACATGGAGGCCTAAGTTAACAGTGCCCTAAATGCCCTTTCTGAGAGACACTGTAAATATTTTGGAAGCCTTGACGGGAGAGAAATGATGGAGATAAAGACATGTGCCCTTGGTTTATTACGTAGCGCCACTCACAGTCAGTTAATAAAAACCCTTTAGTCACTGTGGAAGATTCCCAAAAGGATGACTGTTGAGTAATACGCAGGCTAAAAGACCATTCCGTCCATGCCTGAGTACAAATGGCAGTTCTAGCCCGGCGGGTGGAGAATTTAGACGTGACTCAGCCAAACTTGTTCCTGGCTCTGTGGGAAATGTCACTTACAGCCTTGAGTAAAGTTGCTCCTGAGGGACTGCTGCTGCAGTTATGATGCACTTTGGCATCACTCATGGGTACCTACTAGAGTTTTGAGTTGGAATCAATAGAGGAAAGTTCACACAGACATCATCCAGTTCCTCAAAATAAAAAGACACTTTTTCTGCCCTTAAAATTCTCGACGGGTTACGATACTTATTTTCAGCCTTGAAATGTGACATTGCTACACAGTTGAGTATTTGTTCTCGTTCTAAAGCTGCAGTGGGCGAGCAGCAGAGTCAGTTCAGAAACAGAATATATAGTATAGAATGTCATTATTTAAGCAATAGAACATGAGATGGAGTGTGTTATTGTGGAATAACATCACAGCCGTAGATCATCACAGCCGTGATGTTACTCGCGATGACACATGACCTCAAGTGTTCTATTGCTTTTATACAACAATTAATAAATTTAAAAAATAAATAAAGTAAGAAATTAATAAATTGGGCTGTGAACGAGTCATTTAATATGTTTTAATGTTAGCAGTTCCTTCCGCCAAATTATAGTTCCTTAACGAGCAGCTTGTTGCTACGTCAGAGTAATGAGCTCCGCTCACTCGCTGCACAGCCAGCAGTTCGTTCTCCATCTCTTTACACAGAACAACTGACAGTTTGGGAATTTAGTGTCGTCTCATCTTCAGAGTCTGACCAAATCAGCTGTCGGTCAAATGTGATCTTAAAAGGATCCATTTTCTGTTTGTGGCAAAGTGAGAAGTAAAAACATTCAAATGGCTTGAACATCTCCTGCAGCTGTCAGTGTCGTTGCTTAGCAACAGCATCTCAGCGGAGTGATACCGTGTTTGTGAAAAACCGTGATGTTATGGCGAAATAACAGCACGGTTAGAACGCTTCTCAACCAATCAGCTTTGCTTGGCTGGAAGTAACTGTTGTATAAATGTCTGTAACACATATTAACACAATGCATATTAAGTCAAAATAGAATGTAGTATTCAAGCAATCACTTCCTCAAGCTTACTATGCCTTTTTGAGGGGCTGCCCTACCCCCAGCCCAAATGACCAGTTCTTATCAGCATGTTAATTTCAAAGACATGGTAGTACTCTTTCGTGTTGGGGGATGTTTTCCACAAATGGTTACTTCTGATTGGTCAGAACGGGCGGGCTCTTGGTTTGAAACACTGTAGTTTGGTCATGATAAAAAAGTAAGGAACTCTGAGTTTGGTCTGATGTTAGAGGGGCAGAGAGAGTGGAGTGAGCCTCACTCTTCTCTCTCTCTTGCTCTTTCCCCCTCTCACTCTCTCTCTCTCTCTCTCTCTCTCTCTCTATTTATCTATCTTTCCAGGTAACATTAGTAGCATTCTCAATGTAATATTCATCCTACTTATAACGTCTTCTGCAGAGCCTCCTCATATTCACTCAATTTTAACACATAATTTAGTTGATCACTTGCTGTTAATAAACCAGTCTATGTTGTCTTAAATCACTGTGAAGATTAACCCACTGAACAGCATTGCTTAATATACTAAACTGTAATTAAAAGTATAACGCCACACAGACTCGTAATGCTCTCCCACTTCAGTGTTAACAGTTTGATATCTATGTGAACAATAGGTTGGTGTAAGAAAACCACCCTACAAGCCTGTGGCTCACTGACATCACCAAATCTCTGGTTTGATCTCCTTTTGACTAAGCGAAAAATATCCTGTTTAATAATGATAATAGAATCCCCAACAACACGAAATGGTAGAATACAGAGTCTAAAAGGTTGGACCACACTGAATATGTTAAGAAAATTTATGACAAGTAAAACGAAGGAGAAATATTCTATGTTCTGTATGATTTCTAGGTCATTATTCACATTTAAGCAAATTTATGATATTATGTCTGTGACCTTATTAAGGTCTTAGTACAAAAAAGTCAGAGTTTTGCCTTTTTTTTTTTTGTTACTCTATTATTCTGTATGTTTTTTAAGGCGGCACCTCAACTTGAGCTGTTTGAGCCAAACTTTTGAACTCATTGTGTAGCTTGAAACAATGCAGGTAGAAATTAATAATTAATCATTCTGACAGAAGTGTAGGAATAAAATAAAAAAACTAAATTTGGCAAAGTTAAACTGATTCAAGATAAACAAAGAAAGCTGATAAATGGACATTGAGTGTTGTTAGAATGTATTGACATAAAACTACTTTATCTAAAGTTAAATAATAGTCTTAGTGTTCTATATATACCGTATATAGATTTATTAAAATTTAAAAATATGTATTATGCATCCTACATCTTGAGACATCTTGGCATGTTAATATTGCCAAGACATCTTAAGATCCGTGTGTCTTAAAGACGTCTTCATTTCTTAAGACATGCCTCAAGATGTCCTAAGACGTCTTCATAATGTGTCTTTAGACATGTCTTAAGACATCCCAAGACATAGTAATGGCTGGGTATGACTCAACTAAAATGTTAGCACAGTTCATTTATTTAGTTAAACTCAAAATGTAAAACCTGCTGGTGCAAATAAGAAAAGTAATAACTGAAAAACTATTTGGAACTCTTCACAAATTTTTCTTGATTGCATGAACTAGATTGTTATTTTCTCTCAAAAAAAAGCGACTTGCTGGGATGTAATTGTTTTGGTTTGGAATAACCCATGCTGTTAAGTGAGCTACTAAAATTGGAAGTTTTAACCAGAAACATCCACCCTGGAAAATGTGGACCATTCTACAGGTGAGTGGAGAGCAAACAGGCAGAAGGACAATACTGATCTAACAGCTTTACCAAGGTTAAGCCACTTATACGAAAGTATTTATCTTAATACATCATGGAGGCCGAAGTGAACTGTGACATGAAACTGTTGTGGAAACTGGGTATAAATACAACACCAAGGAAGCACTCGGACAACAACCTTCAGCAGTTCTGTCAGGCATGCTTTTCTTTTCCATTATTGTCTATAAAGCGACATGAACATGTTGCAACATGAAGCAACATGACTGAAAACCATTACTCTAGCCTGTGCAACACACTTCACATTCTAAATCGTGTCCACTTTTCAACTGTCATTACAGTTGACCAATCAGTTTTGAAGATGCACTCTAGGCAGTTACTCATCAAACATGGAGGAAAAGTTAGACGTGGCTGTACAAAGCCCACGATAAAAAGGACCATAATCTGAATGTGCAAAAGAGTTCTATTTCGCTGCTGTTTGAAGAAAAAATTTAGTCCATTCATCATGAAATGTACACACAATGTAAAGGACAACAGGTATTTTCAAATAATGTCAAAAACTGAAAAACGTCAAAAATGGAGATACAAGGTTTTGTCCTGACAACAGCGATTTATTATTATCATTATCGTTATTAATCATTTTACCTTCTTGTCAAACAAATGTGTTAAGTGCACCCTAAGAACACAATGTACCTCACACTGAAGGAGTTTGAAAACCATCCTGTTTTGATGTATAGACATATTAATGCATTCCAACAACAGGTCATTTTACCAGAGGGAATTTTTTTAAGTCCTGTGGTCAAGAGGGTGTACTGTTTATGCTCTTCCAGTTAGCGCAGGACACATTACTGAATTTCACATGTTGCTGTCCACAGTGCATCACATAACTGACAGCAACTGCACAATGGAAAAAGTCACATTGCAAAAAAGGTGCTAATTCTCTGGTGACAATAGATTCAGGACATCGGGCCTCTGAACAGAAACCAGTTCTTCCATTTTTGGGGGTGAATGCCGAGCACGCTTCAGAAAGTCTGTCACTTTCTTCCAGTGATTCAGGCAACCACAGAGGCGTGTCAGGAAAAGATTTACTGCACTGCTGTCAGTCAAGCCTCTTTCCTGCAGTCATGGTAGACACCACCAATCAGATTCTCTCCAGTGAATTCCACAGTGAGATTGCGATCCTTACTGAGCTCCAACAGCTTCCTCCCCGTCCCCTCTGTGTCCGGCCTTGACAATGACAAATCTATTAATATGGCTTTGTGGGGGGAGGCCAGTCAGAGAGAGTGTCCATTCCTTACACAATGCGGGGGGGGGGGTGGAGAGACAACAGGAAGCAAGTGACCAGAAAGAGAGAGAGAGAGAGAGAGAGAGAGAGAGAGAGATAGAGAGAGAGAGACAAGGGAGGGAGGGGTGAGTGTTGAGAGTGTATGGAGGGTATCTTAACAGTCTGATGCCTCTGGGACGCAGACTGAAGTGTATGTATTGGGGGGTTAATCAAGTATGTGATTGTGTTTGGCTGCATCTGTTCATTTTTGGGTTTCGTGTGACCCTTGTATAACTCTTTGGGGTTGTACTAACTGTGGGCACTCATTCCTCTGAAGCATTTTCACTCTCTGGACTCTCTGAAGCATCATATCAGGTAGGACCTGTTCATCTTTCAGTCTTTACCTTTCATCTGTGTCATATCGGCATTAGTTCGGCTTCAAAGATTTATTGCAGATCGTTTTACGTTTTCTACCGTTTTGTGTCTTGCTTATATAAAGGTGATCGCTGACTTCAGCGCTGATTAGTTCTACCTTGGTACGACCCCACAGAAGAATAAAGAAGTACAGTAAATACTGCTCAAGCTTATAGGAGACTCATCAAACTGCGCTTAGTAGTAGTCACACTAATTTTAAATGTAACCAAGTGCCTTTTTCCTGAATTTTAAAATGTTGTGTGTTTGTGTGCTTGTTTTCATACATTGTCAAGACAAAACTGTCTGACTTTGTAGCAAAACTAGGAAAATCAGAGCTTTCACTTTGTAAAGGGCTCTTTTAAAAAAGCTTCATGTTTAATTTTTTTATTAAAACCACAAAACCATTTCTTTATGGTTGTGGAGGTAAAAGGCAACCTTAAATCAAAGCTGACCTTTGTTTACATTTCTCTGGTTGTATAAAGGACGACTCACTATATAATACCATTTAAAAGCCAAAATTCCTGACTTCCTGTTACCTTTGATTAAAGTGTCGTGACTTTTTCTCACCTCTAAAACATCTTCTTATTTTGATTATGTCACCGTGCACCAGCAGGTCATCTTAGCCAATACCCACCCACCACCCCCACCTATCATCAAGAGAAAATACTCAGCTCACTCAGAGACCCTCCCTGATACTATGTTTCACTTAGAACTTTGATTTTAAAGCTGCATTCTTAAAAAATAGTTCTTCAAAGGCAAAGTAGGAGCAAATGATATATATAGGACTGTAAACAAACAAAAATAGATTTGAATGTATAAATAGTGCTTTATGTGGATAAACCGTTGTTCACTATTAAGGAAAACCTGCTTTAAAGAATACCTTTTAAACATGGTTCTACAGAACACCATTAAGGGGTTCTGCTACTGTTACAAGTCTTGGTACTTTTATTTGCACTATATAGAACCTTTGTTGCTAGAAATGTGGGCTTAGAACATTATTATTACATAAAGGTAATTAGGTAAGGCACTGTGTACTAATAAATAGAAAAGAAAATAAACAAAAACAAAGAACATTTAAATCAAACAAAGAAGCTTCTGGCATTCTGACCACCCCAGAGTCCAGACCTCAACATCACTGAATATGTCTGGATTACTCGGATCATGACAAGCAGAAAATGCAAAACCAACTTCTAAGACTGAACTTTTGGAGGTGTGAAAAAATAACCCTACAGATTTCTTTGACTGAAAGCAAGTCTCTCTAAAAGAATGGAAGCTGTAATAAAGACAAAGAGTGGACACACTCACTCTCAGAAATAAAGGCATGAAACTGTCAGTGGGGCAGTACCCGTCTTGTCACTGGGGTGGGACCCTCAAGTACCTTCAGTCAGGGAACATTACTGTACCATAATCCATTGAAATTATATTTTCTAATTTGTATTGACTCCACACACCCCGTCTCGCCTCCAGGCTTTTATTTTATTGTTCTGTTTTAAACATTAGATCATGAAAAGGTAAAAATCTGTACTTTTCACCTGGAAGAACTTATTTAAGGAACACAATCAGACCTTAAAACCACTGTTGTACCTCTGAGGGCACATTTAGATTGCTTGTACCTTAAGAATGGAAAGTGTACCTGCACTGAACCTTTATTTATAACAGAGCTGAATACTAAAAAAATTTTTTTCGTTGTTGAGGCTTCTGTGAATGTTTTCTGCTTTTTTTCTGATGCTGAAGAATAAATCAGTCTCTAATGGCTGTTTTGACTGGAAATTAGATACAAGACAGGTGATCTCTGACTTTTTTACGATATCGTAAATGACTCAAAAAACAAGTATGGGCGTGTGTGTGTGGGAAGCAGAAAGAAGTATGCAGACCAGTGATTACTGGATTGAGCCTGTCACTGCTTGCATGTGTTCAGTGCCGGTCAAAAGCTTAGACAGTGATGAAAAGATTTCCTGTATGGAAAATATGACAGGATTTATATAAAATGCCTCTGTTGCTGATGGTGCTGCTGTGATTTACCTTCATTCATTCATTGGAGGCTCCTCCAGAGGGAGTGAGGCAGTAAATGGAGGAGCAGTAGGCTGTCTCCTTCCTTGTTTGTGAATGTATCAGGAGTAAGCATGTCTCCACATTCCTCAAGCTGAAGGCTGTGTCTCTTAGATCAGAGTGACCAAGAGCTTTTTATGAAGCACCTATTTGGACAGTGAAGTTGTGCCTGATTAACCACTTCAAACTCCTGATATGATCAACACACAGAGTAGATGAGGTACTTTGTATAATCACTGCACATTAACAGTTTGAGGACACTAAGCTCTTCAAAATATTGTCAATAAATAAACACGTTTACTATGTTAGTTTGTTATAAGAGCACAGATAGAGAGCTGTTCAGATATTAGTTGTAATGTCAGCACTTGCGGCACTTAAAAACCCTTCAGGCTTTTAACCTTTGGGACAAAAGAGTTTTAATATGTGCTTTCATACGTACAAATGTGTGAGTTTGGGAAATAAAACTGTCAAATCATCATTTAAGTAAAATCTGCTCTTAACACCAAGGAAGACACTCTGATGAGCATGAAGCTGAGTGATGATAAACACACCCAAACAATTATATGATAATGAACTTTTGCTGGCACTTTTCTTAATTTAGTGAAAAGCAACAGTGATCAAAATCAAAATTACTCTGAAAATTTCAGTAGAAGGCAAGATGTCCCCAAACATTTAACAGCCAGTGTATGTACGGATTTAAAAGGAAAGTGTCAGAAACTGTTTCATAGAAAGCCTTTCTTGGCCCTTTTAGTAGGAAACCGACATGTCACTCAAATCTGACACAGCACATCCAATCAGGTCACTCATTCAGGCTGTTTAGAAAGAGGTTAAACACAGACTGCAGTATAAATACACACTGTAGATTGATTTTTGTGACAAAGGCTATAGAAATAATTCCAACAACACTCTCTGTCTCTCTCTCTCTGTCTTTCTCTCTCTCTGTCTCTCTCTCTCCCACTCTCTAACTTTCTCTCTCTCTCTCTCAGACTCTAGAACACTGATCACTGCATCTTGGTGTTTTCCTTGTTCTACACCTGATCCAACTCAAGTCCACAAATGTGCTCTTTTCTGTTGAGATGTTACACTTGGCTAAGTCCCAATTAAGCTTGTGAAAAAACAGATTTTGTCAAGTTTAATAACTTTAATATTATAATAAATACATTTTATATTAAACTCAAAGTTAACAGCTAAAATTGCACTAACATTTGCTGACAAATGCCAGTTTTCTTCAATGTAGAGGATTTATGAAATTTTTTCCACTTATTTTCACAAATCAAGAAAGTACTTGTGTTCAAATTTTTGAATACAACTGTATGTATTTTGCTTGTGAAAGTTCAGACTGCTGGGACAGATCGGGTGTATTTTGTTTGTTGTGTAATCTTAAAGTACATTTTTAGGGATAAATATCTGACAGTCTAAGCAAACAATTCACTGGATCCAGCTGTTTTAAATCAAGGATATGGCCAACAGCTGAAGCTGAAGGATTTGCGGTCAACATTTAGTGACCCTGGAGTGAGGAAAGAGTCAAACAGAGGCAGAAATCTCTAGTTCCCGATGAAGCAATACTAAGCCACCCTAAGACCCCGTAAAGTATATGGCACAGTATAAAAGTATAGTACAGTACAAGTCTAGTATAAAAGAATAATATTGCTGTTGTTGGAAGAAAACCTTGTATCTCCAAAATGGTAACTTTACAGGAGAAGGAAAAAAAACGTACTTTACTTTTAACGTAAGCCAATGGAACCAGACTTTTTTCCAAGCAATTTTGGGTTGAATTTCTTTTGGTCCATTCTTCATGAAATTTACACACAATACAAAGGCCAACAGGAATTTTCAAATTATGTCTGAAAACTGAAAAATGACAAAAATAGAGATACAAGGTTTTCTTCCGACAGCCGTGATATAAATGTATAAACTATCCAAACAGTGTGAACTTACACACAAATACATATTGAAAATCATTTTTTTTAATTAATTATTGGAGCATACAGATAGCGTCTTTTCAAACTCTCGGCAGCGTGCTTCTTTTCATTGACTGACCACAGCTGATCAGTGAATATTGAGGATGCCTTGTCTCTAGTCACTCATCCAATATAGAGGAAAAGCTAGCTTTGGCTGTTTTGCAAACACCTGGAACTGAACAACACTTGATACAAAAAATGACCACAGTCCATCAGGTATCAGAAGTTCCTACGTGACAGTACTGAGGACTGACCAAAAATCGTCCCAAAAGATGATGTGTAAACTGGAGAAGCTGGTGTACTGTTTCAATATGAACAGCCTAAACACTTGCCTCTGTAGGTACAACAGGTTCACAGTAGAGAAATATTGATCTAATGTTTTTAATAGCTCAAAATTGTTAACACTTCATTGTACATCAGTGTTCGAAAGGCTACATGACACTATAGTAAAAAAAAAGGATGTGATTTTTTAACTTAAAATAATAATAAGAACAACCATTAAAATAAACACAAATATCTGTGAAATGAAGGTGATCATTAGTTTTTGTGAATTTACATTCTATTTCTGTAAATTAACATCAGCAACAACAGCTTTGTTAAGTACAGTATATGTAAGGTTTATTTACATGTATAATCATTAAATATAGCATTTTATAGTTTTTTTAATTTTTTAGTATTTTGACAAAGAAATATATTTATTTTTATAGTGTACATAAGACCTTCATGACAACTGACATAGACTCACATTAATATCTATAAATATTCACTCTAGTAAGCCTTATTTGATACAAAGATTGCATTTGCCAGCTTTGATGTTAAGTTGAGGTGATGACATATTCTGTCGTTAAATGACAAATTCTGTAGGTTAATGTATGTTACAATGAACAAAACTGAGCACTTTCAGTGGCTCTTAGCTAAAAATTTGTTTCATTTGACCATTTATAATATGTT